CCTGACATGTTTTTCAAGCCACTGGAACCCTGCAGTCAGTCATGTAAGATCCAACTACCTTAAGCACCATGTCACTATCTGGCCCTGCATACAGGTTTTGAAAAAACATACTGGGCCCAACCTTTGTAGTGCAGTTAGTACCATACTGATCTGTATTGCTGGAAACCACAAGGCCAACTCTAGATCCCATTGCTGCTAGGTCAACCTCAATAGTGAGGAGTTAACTGTATATTAAGCAAAGAAAACATATAAGAATCAAATTATTTTCAAGTAATTTAGTTGCTTCTAAAAACAAAGTCAAAAATATTTAACGGAAGACAGAAATACCTAGTATATCCCAAAAGGCAGATTTTATATACCTTGCATCCAATAAAAACTATCCAGATTAGAAGGCAGCTATGCTCACCACTATACCACCAACACACACTGCCAAAGCAATTCTACCCAAGAAGAGTGGGTGGCATCTCACTCCCTAACCCAAAAATATACTACAAAGCTGTGATAATCAAAACAGCATGGTATTGGCACAGAAACAGACAGGTGGACCAATGAAACAGGATAGAGATCTAAGAAATAAACTCCCAAACATACAGCCAACTGATTTTTGACAAAGGGTACCAGTAAATACAGTGGGGAAAGGAAAACTCCTTTAGCAAATAGTGTTGGAAAACTGGATAGTCACCTGCAGAAAGATGAATCTGAACCCCTACTTCTCACCATTGACAAAAATCAACTCAAAGTTGATCAAAGATCTAAACCTAAGACCTCAAACTATAAAACTACTCGTGGAAAACACTGGGGAAATTCTGGGAGACATTGCGGTAGTCAAAGGTTTCTTAAATAAGACCCTCAAAGCACAGTCAAAAATCCCAAAAACAGACAAGTGGGATTACATTAGATTAAGAAGTTTCTGCATGGCAAAAGATACAGTAATTAGTGTGAATTGACAGCCCTCAGAATGGGAAAATATTTTTGTAAACTATGTGTCAGATAAGGGACTGATAACCAGAATACACAGGGAATTCAAGCAGCTTTCATGATAAAAGATTATCGACCCAATTAAAAGATGGGAGAATGAGCTGAAAATACCACTCTTTAAGGAAGACATATGAATAGCCAAAAGGCATATTAAAAAATGGTCAAAATCCCTCATTATAAGAGAGATGAAGATCAAAACCATAATGAGATATGACCCAACCCCAGTCAGAATGACTAAGATTAAAAAAAAAAAACAAAAAATGATAAGTGCTGGCAGGGTGTGGTGAAAGGGGAACTCTCCTACACTGCTGGTGGGAATGTAAATTGGTCCAGCCACTGAGGAGAACCATATGGAGATTCCTCAAAGATCCACAAATAAAACTACCATATAATCCATCAATCCCACTCCTTAGTATCTACTCAAAGGACAGAAGAATGCTTAGTCGGAAAAGTGCCTGCATGTCTATGTTTATTGCAGCATTATTCACAATTGCTAAGACACAGAATCAACCCAAATGCCCACGAACAGGAATGGATTGAAAAAGTGTGGCATATATACTCTATGAAATACTACTCAACCATAAAAAATAACAAACCCCTGGCTTTTGACAGAAAGTGGATGAATATGCAAGATTTACTGCTGAGTAAAGCAAGCCAGGCTATGAAGGAGAGACACTGTATGTTTCCCCTTAATACATACTGAGTGTCCACACTTTATAGCCAAACTGAATGACTAGAGGATTTAGGAACATAGAAAATGGTTATAAATACCAGATACAGTATGAGAAGAGGGTGGGTAAAGGAGGAGAGTCTGAGGAAGGACATTCAGGAGAAAAGTAAAGAGGCAAGACATTTATGGGACAAAGAAATAGGTTATTATCTATTGAAGATAACATGTATAGTATTCTCAACTGAATTGGTGAGAAATGAATACATGTTGGAATATTCACTTTGAAAGCTAAGTGACATATGTGATTGAATATATAAAAGAAATTGAAATTAAAAAAAAATGATCAGACATGTAAAGAAACAGGAAAATGTGACCCACGAGAAAGTGAGTTAACTGAAATATACCTAGAACTGACATGTATGTTAGAATGAGTGAACACATTGAAATGATAATAAGTATATGCAATATGTTCAAAAAGTTAAGACACAAAATACATTTAAATAATATAACTTCTAGAAATAAAAACTATAATTTCTAAAATGAAAATACACTGGATGATATCCATAGCAGATTAGACACAGCAAAAGAAAAAAAAAATGGTTAAGTTGAAGACACAGCAAGAAAAACAACAAGAAATAAAACGCAAAAATAGAATAACTAAACAAAACAATGACAACCTGTGATACAACTTGTAGCGGCATAATTAAAGCACAGTTAGAGTCCTTGAAGTGGTGGGATGTAAAAATAACTAAACAAATAATAAATAAAAATGTCCCAAACTTGATGAAAATGATGAAAGTATATTCAAGATGTTCAATAATTCAAGGAAAATCATAAATTGCATAAACCAGATATAAAGAAATGTCCTGAAAGGCACGAGAACAAAAAGAACACTGTGTGTGTGTGTATGTGTGTGTGTGTGTGTGTGTGTGTGTGTAATACACACACACACATATATATAAATTAAAGCAAATTTAATATATATTTAATATATGTGTGTGTGTATATACGTATATATATATAATGTGTGTGTGTGTATATATATATATATGAGCTTTAGAGTACTATAGCAAAACAGAATAACTATAGTTAACAATTTAATATATATTTCAAAATAGCTAGAAGGATTTTTTTTTGAGAGGTTTTTGCTATAGGGCGCGTGCACTCACCAGACAGACAGAGAGAGACATAGAGACAGAAAGCGAGAAATCACCCCCCAGGGGGGATGGCCACACCCCAATCCCTTCTCCTCCATTCTTCTCTCGGGATCATGGGCATGCACGCACACACGCCCGGCCTGAGTTTTAAGCTACCGGGTCCGGGACGTGAACCGCGGTCAACTACGTGGGAGTCCAGAGACATATCCATTACACTAACTGCTGGTCCCAAAAAGAAGGATGTCAAACGTGCACAACACAAAGTATGATAAAAGTCTGAGTCATATATATATGTAAGAATTAAAGCAGATTTGTTTTCAGAAACAATGCACAATGCATGTGAACAGTGGAACATCTTTAACCTAAAATTCTATCCTCATTACAAATATATTTGAAAAATGAAGATGAAATAAAGACTATTTTGGACACAGAAAATCTGAAAGAGCTAATCACCAGTAGACTAGTAGTGTAATACACAGCCACTGTTAGTATTGCATCATCTAGCTTGTTTTCTTCACATAAATTACTTTAAAAAGTCAACTCTCACTTGCTGCCAAGTCCATCAGAGGATATTCAAGGTAATGTATAATGAATGGAGTAAGTAAGCAATAGTTGTGAAGATATGTCTATTTTGATAGGTTCTATGAATCACGACTCCAATCAAACTCTGTCTCTGAAAGTAGAACTATATTGATTACAAATTCTAGGTATCTGTTTTGTTTTCTTGGAATGAATTGTTACAAAAAATTCCAGGGCACAGTATATATGGCTTTCAGTCTTTGCAGGAAAAAGAGATTTTTGAAACAATACCTTGTGCAAATTCTCGATCTGTATACCTGCCACCAAACCGGTAGGTTCAGCCTCAAAAAAGTTGCCTTGAGTTCTCCCAGAGGTTTTCCTTTCTTTTTTCTTTCTAATTCTTGATTTGCTAAACCAATATGAGCGCTAGAAAGAAATCCAAAATGTAATTACCAAAATGATTATTAAGAAATAAAATACTCTAGGGATCAACAGATGGCATAGTGATTACATGTCGCTGGACTCCCAAGTAGTCAACCGCAGTTTGAGTCCCAGACCAGGTGGCTTCAAACTCACGCCAGGCATGTGGGCATGCGTGTCCAAGATCCCAAGAAGAGAAGGGATCGTGGAGTGGCTTTCCTTCCAGGGAGAGGGGTGATTTCTCACTTTCTGTCTCTCTATCCAGTGAGTGAAAATGTCTTATAGCAACAATTTCTCTCAGAACAACAACAACAACAAAATAGCATCTAAAAGAATAAAATACTTAGGGATCAACTAATCAAGGAGGTGAAAGACTTGTACACTGAAAACTATAAAACCTTACTCAAAGTATTTAAAGAAGATCTAAGTAAATAGGAATCAATCAGTGGTGTGGTGGTTAAGGTGGCTGGATCTTTTATGCCAACTACACAATTTGAGTCCCATATTCAGCACCTTGAAAAATACTCTGGGTGCATGTGTGTGCATACCAAAAATCTCAAGAGGAGAATGGAGGAAAAAGGTCTGAGGCTTGGCAAACCTCTACAAGGGATGCTTTTTCAGTTTTCAAGAAAAAAAAATACAAAACAAAAAAACCAAACAAGTAAATAGAAAGTTTTTGGATTTGAAGTTTTTTGTTTGTTTGTTTTGTTTTGTTTTGTTTTTTAAGAGATTTTTGCTATAGGACACGTGTGCTTGCTGGAGATTCAGAGAGAGAAAGTAAGAAATCACACCCCAAGCAGGATGGCTATGCCACAATCCCTTCTCCTCCATTCTCCTCTCAGGATTTTGGGCATGCATGCACACACACCTGGCATGGATTTCAAACCACTGGATCCAGGATTTGATCCATGGTTAGCCATGTGAGGAGTCCAGTGCCTTAACCATTATACCACCTGCTGGCCCCGGAAGCTTTTTTTTTTTTTTTTTTAAATAGGGTGATGCTACCTAAATCAATCAAAGGAGTTAATGTAATCCCTAAAAAACATTCCTATGAATATTTATGCAGAATTAGGATAGTTAATCCCAAGTTAAATGGAACTACAAGGGCCCCATAATAACCAAAACAATCTTGAAAAAGAACAAAGTTGGATGACTTATAGTTTCAGGTTCAAACTTAATACATAGTTAGAGTAAACAAAACAGTGTGATACTGGCATAAGAACAGACATACAGGTCAAAAGAATAAAATTGAGGGTCAAGAAATAAACACATATAACTATGATCAATTGGTTTTCATCAAGGATGCCAAAACCATCCAATGGAGAAATAGTCTCTTTAAAGAGTGGGTCTATGACTACAAGATATAAACATGCCAAAAAAATTAATAAATAAAAACAAATTAGATTCCTACCTCACACCATACACAAAATTAACTCAAAATGAATCAATGATCTAAATACAAGAGCTAACACAATCAAACTTTCAGAAGAAAACAAAGGAGTAAATATCTATAACCCCATATTTAACAATGGTTTCTTAGATATGACACCAAATTCATGAACAATAAAATAAAAAAATAGGATTTTATAAAAATTAAAAACCTTTATGCATGGGGCCAGCAGGTGACATGGTGGTTAAGGTACTAGACTCTCACATAACCAATCACAGTTTGAGTCCAGGATCTAGTGACTTGAAAATCATGCCAGGTGCATGTGCCCCAAATCCCAAGAGTAGAATGGAGAAGAAGGGACTGTAGCATGGCCATCCCCCCAGGGGTGATTTCTCACTTTCTCTCTCTCCATCTGTCTCTATTTCTTTGGCGAGCACATGTACCCTATAGCAAAAATCTCTCTCTAAAACAAAACAAAACACCACACCACACATGTACACAATGAAACAGCACTTTAAACCCACGGAGATGGCTGTAAAAAAAGGAAAATAAGTGTTGGTGAAGATGTGGAGATTGGAACTCTGCCCATTGTTTGTGGATAGTAAAATGGTGCTATTACTATGGAAAACAGTTTGAAGGCTCCTCAAAATGTTAAACATAGAATAGACTATGAACTCGTAGCTCCATTCTTAACTAATATTTTAAACAAATATTCTTTTTTTTTTTGGAGAGGTTTTTGCTATAGGGTGCGTGCACTCACCAGAAAGACAGACAGAGAGAGAGAGAGAGAAAGTGAGAAATCACCCCCCAGGGGGGATGGCCATGTTGCAATCCCTTCTCCTCCATTCTCCTCTCGGGATCTTGGGCATGCATGCACACGCGCCCGGCTTGAGTTTTAAGCCACTGGGTCCAGGACGCGAACCGCGGTCGACTACGTGGGAGTCCAGCAACATAGCCATTACACTAACTACTGGTCCCTAAACAAATATTCTTAATGAATTATTAATGAATTATTCAAACAAGTACTCATATACAAATATTGACAGCAGTGTTATTCACAGTATCCAAAGGATAGAAACAACATATATGTCTACCATGAACAAATGGATAAAGAAATTGATCTATATAATACATACACTGGAATATCAAGCAGCCATAAAAAGGAATGAAATCAATACTGATACATGCTACAACATGAATAAACTTCAAAACATTATGCTAAGTGAAAGAAGCAGACATAAAATCACTTAATATATACTATTAGTTGTATTTCATGTAAAATATCCTGAATAAGTAAACCCATAGAAAAAGAAAGCACATTAGTGATTACTAGGAGCTTGGAATAGGGGAAAATGGAGTGTGAGTTCTTCATGGGTCAGTGTTTTACTTTTGAGTGATGAAAATATTTTGAAACTACACAGAGATAATGGTTGCACACTGTGAATGTACTTTATGCCACTTTGTTCATTTCAAAATGTTTTATTTTGTGTTATGTGACTTTCACTTCAATTAAAAATAGTTAAATATGAAAAAAAATGAGGCTAAGAACTTGAAAACACTTAGGCTTGGCTTACTTTATAAGATAGATAAAGTTATAGTATACTACTAGGGATTATACTTGCAGCAAAAGTATCTATGATTTGAATCTCCAGTGCTTTAAAGTAAAAACTAAGTTGAAATGCCGTCTTCAAGATATAGGGAGAAAGTGGAATTACTCAAAAATGAGCTCAGCCAATGGTTTTTACCATGTGTGGTAAGAATATTTTCTTTATACCATATATCATCCAGTAATGGTGAGGATGTGTGGAAGGCAAGATGCAGATGCTCACCTACTCTAAGCAAAGTGGTCTACCCACTTAAAGGAAACTAGTCATGCACTCCGATACAGAAAATATCTAAGCTTCTCACTAGGACCTAACAAATCATCATGTGCTAGTTTAGATATGAACACTTTTTGAATATTTTTAGGTTTATCACCCAACCTAATCCACTATGTACCATCTGACTACAGAACAGTTATAGAACAGTTATAGAACTCACATTATTAATACAGGGTTTTGAGTGTCCTATTTATAGGTGTCATTCATATACATATGCATAAGTTTAAGATGTATAAAGAAATGATTAACATTTAAATATAAATGGTTTATAAATGAGTATAATTTTGCACCTGACCTTTTGGTTTAAGTATAAATATTATGAAATAGGTTCACAAGGACTATGGCCTTTTTGTAATAACAGCAGTATTCAAACTCACCTTAAGGAAAAAGTACCACGGTTGGGGCACGCCGTACTGCCCTGGAAAGACAGTTTCTATATACCAGGTAACAAGGCCATACAAAAAAGCATCAAATAAAAGCATTCCTAACATATAGCCAAAGATGAGGTTATCCTCAATGTTGGCTGATTTCCAAAGGTTATCCCATTTAACACCAATCTCTGAAATACAAAGGAAAATATTTATTTGCCACCGATGAAAATTATGTGATTGAAACAGAAAAGAGGTTGATACTTTAAATTATTTATTTATTTATTTATTTTTGAGAGGTTTTTGCTATAGGGCGCGTGCACTCGCCAGAAAGACAGAGAAATACAGAGGGACAGAAAGCAAGAAATGACCCCCCAGGAGGGATGGTCACGCCGCAATCCCTCCTCCATTCTCCTCTTGGGATCTTGGGCATGCATGCACACACACACCCAGCGTGAGTTTAAACCTCTGGGTCCAGGACTCGAACTGCGGTCGACTACATTGGAGTCCAGTGACATAGCCATTATGCCAACTGCTGATCCTTTACTTTAAATTTTGACACTGTGAGTTGTCTATCCACTGATACATTTAGTATTTAGGTCAACTAGGAAATGATGAAAAGGAGAAATAATATGGGTTTCTCCTTCCTCTTTTCAAAACCTTCAAATATAAATAGAAAGGATTGAGACAAAATAAGTGACTTAAACAAAAATAAGCAGTATCAGAAGAGTCACAAAAAACCAAAAACAAAAACACACAAAAAATGGACCTTTTAGATCCTATCCCTCTACTTCTGCCCCTTATGCTAAGTTCCTATTGAAATAACCATTAGGATGTCCACCTTTGGAAAAATATTACAACACTAAAGATGGATGCTAACTAAAGAGCAAAAGAAAAAATAATTTTGCTTAGCTATAACACTGATGGAAAGGGAAAAAGGAAGTCACTAAGAGAAGACAAGTAATCCTTTTCTCTTCTATATCCTCTATCCCCAGAGGATAGCATAATAGGAAAAGCATTAGGATTTGCACTGAACCCCTAATTTAAAGAGGCAAGACAAACAAATGTCAGTATTTATGAGCAGATGAATTGACTGAAAAGTGTGCAAACATATACACTACAGAATACTCAGTCATAAAAAAAAAGAGACCCCGACATGTGAAAGTGAAAGAAAATGGAAGATTTACTGCTAAAAGCCCGACTATGAAAGAGAGGCACTGTATGTCCCCACTTAATATATACCAAATGTCTGCACTCTATGGCAGAAACTGGAAGGTATAAAGGCATGAAAAGCAACCACAGATACTAAAGACTGTGTGGGAGCAGGGAGGGAAGTGGAGGAGGATAAGAGGGAGGGAAATTAAGGGGAAAAGAAAGAAACAAAACATTTAAGGGACACACAAATGGAAAATTATCTGTTAGTAACAAGTATGGCAATATCTTTGAACCAATATACAGTGTATTCATGATGGGAAAATTAATTTGGTATGCAGTAATGTACACAGTGATTAAATGTAAAAAAAAATAATGAAAGAACAAATTTAAAAAGAGGCAAGGCATGAAGATGACAATGGTCCATAAAACTCATGTGCCCTTCAACTTTAGTCATTTGTTTTCTATAAACCAGCACTTTAAGAAGAACATTCATGAGCATTCTTGTCTTTCAGAAAGCTAAAAATAGTAATTATGTGAGAAAATTTATTTAGTGGAATTTATTTATTTTTTTAACACAGGGGCCTTTTTATTTTATTTTTTATTTATAATTTTTCTCTTTTTTCTAAACATTCCCTTAAAATTTTTATTATTATTTATACATTCAATCGCTATACATCATTTAGATTGTAAAGAGAACTTACCCAGCATGATATATACCTCCAACCAGTCCAGTTGAGAATACTATACACATCAATATCAACAGGTAATAAACCATTTTAAATGATTATGAAAATAAAAGTCATTTGATAAATTAGAAATAGCTAACAGTATATGGTAGTGACATTTTCATTGGCAGAATTAGCCAGATAAATGGACCCGATGCAATGCTTCTGGCTCTGCATATGTTGAAAGTGGCATTTAGAGGTTGTGGAAATTTACAAGTGTTAAGGCCAGACAGGCTTAGAAAGGACCAGTGACTAAAGGATATAGAAAGACAGTAAATGGATGTGAATACCAGATATAGTGTGTGTGAAAGAGTAGAATCGGAGGAAGGACATTTAGAAGAAAAACAGTGAGGCAAAGTCATGGGACAAAGAAATGTGGTATTATCTGTTGAAGATAATTTTATAGCTTTATCAACTTGACTGGGAGAAATGTTCGCATGTTGGAATATTCACTTTGTAAGCTAAATAATGTGATTGAATGCATAAAAGAAAATGAAATTAAAAAATATATTAAAAGAAAAAAAGAAAGGACCAGTGAATGGCAGAGAACTTAATGAAGGTTTTAAGGCTTTAGCAAGTGACCCAAACTGACTAAGTGGCCAGTCCCAGTACGTGCTCTTCAGCTTTTAAGGGCCTCACACCAGAAACTTCGCTACAGAGGCAAAAAATGTGAATGCCACAGAGATTTAAGGTCTCCATTTCCCTCCACCATAAGAGATCTCATAAATTTCCACTCTTATCCATATCATCTTGAAGAATACAGAAGGGTGATAGCCAAAAGACTCATTCATAAAAACCTCAATAAATTGTCAGATCAAACTTAACTCAGACTAGTTTCTTAACCCGTGAAGAATATGGAGAAAAATTAATTGCAGGAAATGAAGATACATTTGCTTTTTATGTAAGATTGGCAATATATATTTGAAAGGGTTTGGAAAAACTCATGCACCATTGCTGGAGATTAAACCGAGATACTCTTTTTGAAGGTTTTTATAATCTAAATACAAATTAAACTATGAATACCTTATGAAATAACACTTTCATAGCCAGTAATTTTTTTTCAGATTAAAATGCATATATGAGCAAATATATGTGTACAGTTGAGGATAACAGCACAAACTTGGAAACCACCTAAATGTGCATTGATAAGAAAAGTGGTTTATTAATTTTAGCACCCATAGCAAGTGAAATATTAAGCAACTTTATACAAAATGAAGCATAGCTCTACATAGGAAGAGGTTCACCAGCTGCTGAGTACATGTACATATGCATGAAAGAGAGAGAGAGATATATAGAGAGACCTCTGATGGGGCTTGGTCATGCCATGATCCTTTTTCCTCTAGTTCTGCATCCTGCCAGGAACCTGAACATATATGTGCATGGGTGAAGCTAAAGCGGACCAGGACTTGAGCCTTGGTCAGCCATGTGGGATCCAGCTACCTCTGTGCAGAATCTAGCCACTGCACCCCACGTATTTTAAGTGAGTAAAGCAGGCTGCAGAATAGAATATTTAAAATAATTTTGAGAGTGTAGAGGGGTTTCTCATGGAGAGATAGAGAACTTTTAACTTTATACACTTCTGACATTTTTTACAGTCCATGTAACTGCTTTTATGATAAATCTGGGGATAAATAAATATTATAACATTTTCTTACCTTCTCATTTATTATCCCACCCACATTGTCTCACCCCACCTTTCTAAGAATTAAACCAGCAAGGCAAAATTTGTAAGGCAAACACTCACCTCTTAATTCCAACTTGAGCAGAAGATTAATTCCGAGTGCCAATGCAACATTTGAGCTGAGACAGGCAACTACCTTGTTAGCAAGGGTTAGCTCTCCATAGTGTCGAATGATAAAGTTAAATGGAAAGAAACTGGCAAAAAACAGGAAATTTCCAACACTAGTAGCCAAATGGGCTACAAATAAGAAGGACATTATAAAGTCAGTGTAATGCAATCTACAAAATAATTAAGAACAAACTTTTAATACTTCACCAAAGCACTAGACTCTCCCTTTATAAAAGGGAGGAATTTGCCTTTGCTTTCATCCTAATATCACCAGTGCCTAGCACACAGTATGTGCTCAAAAATTTGTGTTAAATTATTCCAGCTATATGGGAGGGCAGAAAGGCTAGGAGGTGAGTGACAATATTGTAAGATCCTGTTGAGGATCTCTCTCTCTCTCTCTCAAAAATAAACAAACTTTAAAAAAAAAGTATATTTAATGAATATGTAACTGTGAGGAAGAACTTTTCCTAGAAAGCATATTTTTAAATGCACGGTCATAAATATTTATAGTAATTTAAATAAAGACTGACTATTCATGTGTTATAAAAATTTCCTTTTGCCTTTCTAAATTTATTCATTCATGATCTTGGAAGCAAAGAAAGAAAGAACAGTTGAACAAATAGATAATTACTGAGATTTGGATGTAATTAAGTCATAAGCATGGGATCCTTAAACTTGAAATTTTTGTCAAGATATTGAGGGGATGGGAACCAGCAGTTAGCATAATGGCTATGTAGCTGGACTCCCACATAGTCCACCGCGGTTCGCGTCCCGGACCCGGTGGCTTAAAACTCACGCCGGGCGCATGTGCGTGCGTGCCCAAGATCCCAAGAGGAGAATGGAGGAGAAGAGACTGTGGCGTGACCATCCCCCCTGGGGGGTGATTTCTCGCTTTCTGTCTCTATGTCTCTCTCTGTCTGGCGAGCGCACGCGCCCTATAGCAAAAACCTCTCAAAAAAAAAAAAAGATATTGAGGGGATATAAAATCAAAATCGATGAAGAAAGTAAAAACTATCCAGATAAAACTACAAAAGATGCTACTTTCAAAGATTAAAATATTTACTTTACCCATACTATACTCTATAAATAATCAGATACTTTAAACATTTGGGAGAAGGATGGGAAATGGCAGAGGGTGACAGGGAGGGAATCAATGGGAAAAAAGAAAGAAGTAAACAGTTAAGAAATATAAAGTGGAAAATTATCTGTTGAAGATAATACACATGGTAATATCTTTGGGTCAATATTCAGTATATTCTGGATGAGAAAATTCATTTGGTATACTGTAATGATATATAGGGAATGGAAATAAAATAAAAACAAAAAAATAGAAAAGGTAGAAAAATCTATCAATTTCACTGAATGCACACTAATATCATCCTAAGCCAAGCTATCATATTTTATCTGAATTTCAAATTTGCTCCACTTGTACCCTTTACTAAACTTTTAAAGACAAATTGCTATTGGACTCCTATGCCAACTATAATATAATAAGCTTTTCTTAACTTGACTTTTAAAAAACAACCCCACATAAGACTTTTATTTCCAGTATTTGTGATCTAGGTATTTGGGACTACTACTTCCCCAAAATGACAATCAGAACTGATTGAGAGTATGAAAAAAATAAAACAACTGATTACATTAGAGAGCTTAAAGAGTAGTGAAGAATTACTGGGTCAGGAGCTAGTTGAAGGAAACCCAAAAGTAAACTCTGCATTTGGGACCACTTTATCCATGTGGGAATGCGTCAGTCTGAAGACAATAACTGGGGATACAAAGTAGAACTTCTGGCACCCTTTTATGTTTTCAGTTTCCTTATAGGAATGTGAGGGCAAAATGGAGTCCACACCTGGTAAGGATGAAGAACTTGCCAAACTTTCATATTTTGGATAACAATGGTATTCTAAGAGTAAAGAGACTGTAGTCTACCTCTAGTAATCTAAAATGCCAAATTTTTAAACTGGACTAAGATAACACTAGAGCTAGACTGACAGCTGACTTCTCAAAGGAAATAATGAGAACCATAAAGTGATTGGGATGATATCTTTGATATGCTTTGAGGCAAAAGCAAAATGATTCCACATAGAGAATCAGAGATGCAGGACAGTTATGAAGAGAGATCAGGAAGATGGCAGAATAGTAAGATGTGTAATTTCTTCTCCACCTAGATGAGAATCGTACTGGCAGAATCTGTCTAATGGAACTAATTTGGAACCTGGAATCTACTCGAGGTCTCACAATTTCTTGTAACTTCCCTACAGAACTGGGAAACAATTTCTGCTGATTCAAATCACAGAGTTTGTAGTCATTTGTTATAGCAGCAATAGGAAAAGTGTCTATACACAGAAAGCTGTAAATACTATGAGAGGTTGAAGGATACTTAAATAAGAGACAAACTGAAGTTCCTATGTGGAAAGTTTCCATATGGTAAAACTTTCAATTACCAAATAAACTGCTTATTCAACACATTCCCATTCAAAATTCTATCAAGCTTTCTTTTTTTGTGTGTGTTTGGGGGGAGTTGACAAATTGATTTTAAAATTAATATGGAAATGTAAAGGATTATGAACAATAAAGCATTATTAAAGGAAAGCTTCACATCCACACTACCAAAAATTAGAACAAGGGACTAGCAGATAGTATAATGGTTATTCCACTGGAATCCCACGTGGTCAACCATGGTTTGAATCCTGGACCACGGGGCTTAAAACTCAAGCCGGGTGCATGTGCATGACAGGCCCAAATCCGGAGAGGCAAATGGATGAGAAGGGATTACCACGTGGTCATCTCCCCTCAGGGGTGACTTTCTGCTTTCCCTCTGTCTTTCTCTCTGTCTCTCTGGCAAGTGCACATGCCCTATAGCAAAACAAACAAACAAAAATACCCCTCTCAAAAGAAAAAATCAGGACTAAACATAAAGCAGTGGCTAATATTGTTTGTTTTTCTACAATAGTTTCTCTCACTACATCTTCAGTTATTTCACATGCATTTTGATATGCTGCATTTTTATTTTGTATATATTTTTAAATTTTTTATTAAATTAATTTATTTACATTCATTCTTCATTGCACATCATTACAGCATACAAAGTGAGATTTTCCATCCAGAGTACACTGTATATAGGCTCAGTCAAGCACATCAACATACATGTTATCATCAACAAATAATTTTTCGTTTCTTGTTTCCTGTATGTTTTGCTTTTTTTCCCCCATCCTTGATTCCGTATCTCTTACCCTCGGCCGTCTCCCACTCTCCTCCCACACTGTCTCTGGTATCTATGTTTGCTTTCTATACATTCCCTCCCCCCCCCCCTTTTTTTGAGCCACTAAAGAATTAACCTAAATATTTTCATAGCAAACACAGCTGATACATACATTTCCATGAACACAAGCAAGTCCAACTTTAGGGATAAGCCTCAGTGAGTAGAATGAATATCCTATAAAGTAGCATCTAGCTGGGGCATTATATCTTACTGCAGGCATCGAAAAGGTATTTTTAATGCATTTTTTTTATTTCAAGAAAAACAGTTTTAATTATTTTCCGGAAACTTTTTCTTTTTTAACTTAATTTACATTCTTT